GGAGGCATGCGACTGTCACGCTCGCTGCATAGCCCGGCTCGCCCTTGATATGATGGATATCGCCGCCCAAGTGGAGATCGACGGAGAGCCAGTGGTGAGTGGGACGGCCGCTGATTTATTATCAGTTTTGTTGCTTTTGTTACTGATATCGTCAATGATGCAATTGATTGCGTTTCTCGTTATGGATCTCAGCTCGTAGATAGTGACTGTTGCAATGTTGTTTTTTTTTGCGAGTAATCTTGTTGTCTTAATTTTCAACTTTGTTGCAATTCATTTGTTAAACAAATTTTTTAATTATAAATTATTTTTACGAAGTTTTTGTTTTACTTAATCCGTCATTTGCATGATTTAAAATATTGTATGATTTAAATACTTATGCCCAGGGAGCAAAGTATGACGTAATAATCAGAAATTGTTATCGTTTTAAAAAACTTTATTTGAATTCTTATCAAAGTTGTTTAATAAAAAATTCAAACAAAACTTTAAAAAATACAATAACAAAATTTTAACTTTAGTTCTATTAATTGAAAGAGTAAATTTTCAAATTTTTAACATACAGTAGTAGAGTATTTTAATTTTTTCATTAAAAATATTTCATTTGGATTAAATAATAAAACATCTTTTAAATTTATGAAATACATTGAAAATATTATAACTTTTTAGGTTGGTCAAATTATTGCAAATATTTCAAACTTTTTTATGAAAAATTTGTTATTTACCTGAAACGTAGTTATAGTTATGAAAAAATTATTATTTTATTTCAAATACATTTAAACCTTATATTTCTTAATTACTAGCTACGACTTTACCATTGCTAATAATAACAGTATGTAGTGAGAAATGTATCATTTCAAGTTATTATGCAAAGACGTTTTTACGATTATTGCAATACGTTCAAGGGAATACAAAATATTTTATTCAAACATAACTTTCTTGAAGATATAATTTAATCGATAAAAAATTCAATGGGCTATTCAGAACATCTTGAATTTCTAGAGTACTACGGCTTATTTTACAAAAGCAATTAAAAGTTCTCATCACCAAGTTTTAATTGTTGTTTGAAAACAACCCTCACGTGGTTCTTTTTTCTCGTAAAACTCCATGCCTTATTCATCTATAAAACGAATCTTTAATATTTCTAAACAATCGGGCAAGAAAGTCAAATTAACCAATTTTTTCGCTATTATAGGTCGAATCAACGACCTGCGCAACCTCGTAAATCAACTTCATACAGCAAAATGATTGCCAAATCAAAATTCCACAGAAAAAAACCTGAAATCGGAAAAAATTTGTTTTCTCCTTTCCTGTTTGCGATTCTTATAAAGTAGGTCAATCGTAGCGCAATTTATTTTCAGCTCTCCAACCCTACGCTTTCCTCTTCGTTACACCTACGGAGGTGCAATCGACTCATTTGTACCGGAAATCGAAGAGCTTACTCATGCACATGTGTGGAGAATTAAATAAGCACTTTGGCTGTTATTTTTGTCATTGTGGCTGACTTCTTGATTTGAAATATGACTTGTAGCATGTTTCATTTCTTTCAAATGCCAGCCTCTTGTGAAATTTGTAGAAGATGTTGTCAAATAGGACTTTATGACAAATTTTGCTATAAATAAAACTGATATTGCGTTAAAACTTTTTTACAACAGATTTACGTTGACAGAAATTCAAGTCTTTTGTGTGAGAATGGAATCTTAAAGTTTTTTTCAATAATTCAAATTTTATATGAATTAAATTTTTTAATATTCAGAACAATAGACATGATAAGGAGGATTTACGGCTTTTATGAGATCTATTCATAAAATTAATGGAAAAAATTTTTGCTACCCTAGTCTCTTTTTATTGTATTAGATCTGAAAATATTCGGAAGAGAATAATAAAGATTGGATTACTTTTGTTTGTCGACATGGACAAAAGAAAATGTTTTAAAAAATTCATTCATTCATTAAACAAGATAAAATCTATGATCACTCCGTAATTAATGATTTCAAAATAAATAATTATTATTACTGATTATTTAAAACATATAATAGTTCAAACTGTAATACTTTTATGAAAATAAATTCTCATAATTTGATACAATTGCTTTTTGATGATATAAATTTTATATTAAACCGTAATCAACAATAATCTTTTTCCAAACTTAATTGATGTATTTAAGCTATATTTTAAGAAACTTTTTACCTTAATAGTAAGGAAGTAAAAACATCAATCTAAATTATATCCGATATCAGGAGTGGCTTGATCGTTCCAATTTCGTCCTTCTTCATTAGTCCACACCTCGAATAGTGAATCTATTTTGGTTGATCAATTAATTTGCAGAAAATTACCATCGGGATACACAGTGGTGAAGTGGTGACTGGAGTAATTGGGCATCGCATGCCGCGCTACTGCCTCTTCGGTAATACCGTCAACCTTACCAGCCGTACCGAGACTACTGGCGAGCCCGGAAAAATCAACGTATCCGAGGACGCCTACAAGTAAGCGCTTCTTTTTCTCACTGATGTCTGTTTATTTTTTGACGTATAAATTTTTATTTTTAAAAATGTTTTAGTATTGTTTTCCTTTATACGGATTAATTGAATAAAATTTGAAAAAAAAGTTAAAAAATGTAAGTATAATTTTAAATTGTACTGAAATTTTTAAATCGATAAATACTAGTGCTGAGATAATATAAATAATAATGTTTTATTTAAAAAATATCACACTCAAATTTTTCACGTTTTCACTGACAAATTTAAAAACTAGAACGTTATGGAGCTGTTTGAGTTTTGGAATTATATTTAGCAAACTAAATAAACATCAACAGCACATTATTCTGTTTTTTACGGGTGCTGTGCCGTGTATGTAGAGAATATATAGTTCATATGAAATATTTATTTTATGAGAATTTATACTAATTTAGTCAATAACTTTAATAATTACTCGGTTAATAAATACTTATATGATGAATATGAGGACTGGGAAAATCAATAATATTTTTAATATAATTTTATTTTTACACAATTTTGGAAATAATTGTAGTTAAAGTTGGTGATTACTACATCATCTTTTCAATTAAACATCAAAAGAAACTTTTTAGTAGAAAATAATTTTGAAAAGTAAATGATCACTTTTTATAAAACACATTATTTTTACCATTAAAAAAAAACATGCTTTTACTTTGATGACAACAAAAACGTTGGCCCACCAACTCTTAAAAACCAGAAAGATAAAAGAAAAGCGTTTCCACTCAGACGGTCCATTATGATCCCTTTCAAGTACTTTTTGTAAGTTTCAAACATCATTATCAATGAGAAACCAATCGAAGCATCGATCTGTCGCCACTGAAAAAAATAGCATTCAAGACCAAGAACTCCAGCCGCACAGTAGTGCATAAACACGTGCCAAAACAGTAGCGGAAAATGTAGCTCGATCAATTTTATCGCGCCCGTACGGGGGCGAGCTCCATTATCTGCAGACAGTGTCTCCGGTGGCCTTAGGAGTTTCGCAAGCCAGTCACCCGACTGGAATGAGAAGACGCCAGCTCTGTCGAGGAACTTCTCTTTTGTTCCAGAAATCAATTATTTACGCAACGTTTGTTTCGAGGACTCGTTGGACAGGCAGAGAAGTGATGGCCTCCTAATACCGTTTAAACTTTTCCCCAAGACAATTCTCTGTTTTTCTCTTCGGCAGCCTCGACATTGCCCAATCGAGAGCAGCTGTTGTTAAACAAATCATTTGCAGTCTCATTCCGTCGGTATTTGTTCTGTTTGAACTATTTTAAAGGGTGAACGCCAAGAGACGTCCCTTTTCGTTGTTTCGAGCGCTTTTCTTCTTGCCACGAGAATTTATCTGTCGTCGGGTGTTTATCGATTGGTTTCGAGTGTCCCGAGAATTCAACGAGCTCTGAAACTCGTTTTAAGTGCATCTTGTTTCATAGTCAAATGCGTTGTTGCAATGGCCCTTTCATACGTAAAAGGTTGCTCAATTGGTGCAATGTCCATTAAAAATTGATGACACTGCGTGAGAAAGAAAGTGATTTAACTTGTTTGAAATCTTTGTTACAAAAAGATCTCTTATTTTATTTTTCGTGATTTTCAATTTAGCAATTCTATCTTTACTTTGACCCAAATAACAGTAAAATACTCGCGCTTACTCAGCTATATATGTGCATAACATACAAAGTATTTCCAAGGCGCTTGTGTATAGGAGGCAAACTTCGTTGCCAAGTCAATGTATTGGTTTTACTGAGAATTGTTTGAAACTCGCCGCAAGCTTTTCAATTTCATGATGTCTGCCATTTTGCGATCAAGCTTCGGTTTTATGTTATTTTTACAAGTAGAAAATATATGTTTGTTCCAGGTCACCCGTATGTAGCTTTAAGTATTAAAATTGGTTTCAATTGCTGTCATATCGATGTATATATTATAACGAAGGTCAGACAGACAAGAGTATAGATTGGGTATAAGTAACAGCTAGTTAAAATTTAAGTTAATGGGGCAGCTTTTCAGAGAATTGTGATCCTAGTTACATTAAATTCCTATATTTCCTTCCAATAGCAACAAGGGCATTGCCTAGGATGAAACTATTGGTGCTTGTGTCAACTTGAAAAAGAGATAGGGCTGTGTCCTCAATTCGATCCATCTCTCCTGCTCCAGAATGTGGTTGGTTGTGTGGCATTGCCAATATTTTGTTGAGGTGAGGTATATATTGAGTTTTTCTCTCGGGTGGTCTCGCTATGGCAGGTGTAGTAAAATCCAGCTGTGGTACATCTTCTCTGATTTGGGAGAGGCTAGCTTGGCTTTGCGCAGTACAAACAATATTGTAATTTGTTAAGTAATTTTGTTACCCCACGTTTCAAGAAATCCACCCCACGCCGTCCTCTTTAATCATGGCTGCATTTTTATCTACTACGGCTCCCTTTCCACCACCCATGCTGCTTTTTTCCATTTTCTCCCCCTCTTTTCTAATCTTTCTATATCTTCTTTTGGCCCACTCATAGCCCTGCTTGGTCCCATCTACTCGGGCATGAACGTTTAGATCGAGAGCGTCGGCTTTTAGAAGAAAATATGTTAGTAGAGTGATTCCTGTTTTAGCGTGAGTATTGTGCTCCGAATGATGACGTTCTAGTGTGACTGTGGCTATATGGTTAATAAAATTTAATTATTTTAGTCGGGCGTACCATATCATTCGTAAAATGGGTGTTAATATATTGCCTCTAAGGATTCAATTACTTATTATCTCGTATTGTGACATACACTCATCCATATCATTCATTTATGTTCGTTGGTTTTACTTTTACTAATCTACGCATACACTTTGAGGCTATTGTTTTTAATACTTTTATCTGTTATCTTTTTTTCCTTTTTAGAGTTTATATCATTATTTTATTATAAGTATATTAATATTTGTATACACCATTTTCTTTATATAATGTTGACCGTGGCTGCATCCTTGGGCATATGAGGACTAGTATCCTGAAATCTAAATCAATAATTACAACCGCAATCACATTCAGAAAAAAAATCATTTTTCATGGTTAAGAACTTTTGCACGTTGCGTTTATTGAATACAAAAGCTGTGATATAAAAATTCTCACGTATTCTATAGCTGTACAATCTTTTACCCTCCCATTATATTTTACTATTTAACGTGAATAAAATTTAACAATGAATTAATAAAGAATATTGCTTTATTATACACAAGATGTGAAAAATTAACTCGTAGCATATTGTTGATGCCAAACGTTTAGTTTCACCTTTTCTTTAAAAACAATTTTTTTTTATCTAAGCTGAAATGTTTTATTTTTCACACATTTTAATGTATGCATTGAAATTTCATATAATTGGCATGAAAAAATGTTTTTTTCATACAATCAACAGTAGCACAAGAAACGTATACCATACATTAACGCTTTAGTGCTTCCAGACTCATACAAACTCTCGTTATTTCAAATTTTTCTAAATTTATTTTACGATTCATGCGAGAGGACATAACATAGAGATTGATTCGTTCGCAAATTGCTCATTGAAATTCTAAAATTGCAAAAATATTTTCAACACCATAAAGATCGATCCAAATGTCTGTCATTCTACGTGTGATGTAAAAGTTAGGAGAGCTCCTTCGTTAGATTTTACCATCGCCGAAGACGGCAAAAGGTATGAAAGACGATGATAAAATCCGTACAAACAAAACACTCAATTCATCCATCATCGGCAATATTGTTCCTCAAGACGGATAATATATCAGTGCGGTGGCGCGAGCTCGGTCGGAAATGCGATACGCGCGCTGGACGATGCATCTTCCTCGTTACCTTGGAAACTCGTGAGCAGGCGTATATAACGGCCCATCCATTTTCCCGCTCTCGCGCCGGCCACAGCTGCTCCATATACCATCCAGTGTACCAATCCACGTGCCAACACGCGTCCCGCATCTTCGTGCCCATTAACTCCAGCTCATCAACAGCTCCTTCGGCGAACATCCCACAACATATGCAACTGATGCTCAGTCAAGCAGCAAGTCCAAATAATCCATAAGCAAATGCGGTATCTGTAGCCGCCTGATGCCGTGGGGCAACGCCCAATTCTCAAAGAGGTACTTTCTGATGCGGCACCTGCAGAGGTGCTTCAGTTCAGCCGGTACCAGACCCGAGCGCTCGTCCGGCAAGAGCTTTTTCTCGGCGAGCCGTGGGTACTGCTCGTACACGGGTATGGACTCAATACCGCAGCCCAGAGCGGCCAAGTGGCTCGGCACCCTTATCCTTACGCAGGATATCGTACGAAGAAGAACACGCAGGCAGACCAGCAGCTGGGGTGGACAGTTGCCACCGTCTTCACCCTCGTACTCGTTTATCCGCGATAGGAGGATCTCGATGAGGGTCATCGGGTGGTTGTCGGACTCGGTAGTCGCCCCGTAGCGCAGCATCAGCAGGAGAATGTCCGGGGAGCCGTGTTGCACTGCTACGTAGACTGGTAGGGCTGGGCCGCAGGACTCCATGGGCACGTCGATAAACCTTTCAAATAAATTTTTTTTTTTTTTAAATAAACATTGAAAATGACGGGGTTTTTGCTTTCATTTCGAATAGTAGAGATTTTATTAGTACGGGAATTCAATAATAATCATGTAACTATAGTATAGTGTGCTTGTTACCGAACCTAAAGACAATAGTTTTTATTTTTGCCAAAATTTATGATGTAACAATTTTCATGGTTTTTTTTTAAACAGAGAATATTTTGAATAATTTTTGCATACACCTGATAGTTATTATTTTTTTAATCAAGTTAAACTTCAACAAAGGTAGTATTTTAAATTATGAAAATGTTTAAATCAAGAACTGTGGGCCTCACGAAGAAATAGTTTTTTCCAAGACTAACCAAAAATTTGATTTACCAAGTTCCTCATATCCTTGATGGCGTGTACGAGTGTAGGATATAAAAATCTGTGCCCTAAAGCTGTACCGAAAACAATTTTTTCTGAGAAACTTTACGAAACTTTTCAAAAGCCTGTTACTACAATAATTTACATCCAAAGCCTGTCGAATGGCAAACTGGCTTGTCTGAACAAACGAAGCGCAAAATAAATAATCGAAAACGATGAGAATAAGATGTGGTGACTTCTTCAGCAAAAAAAGCATAAGAGCACAAACAAACCTTCTCTTGACTGCCGGCGTGGCGCAATCGTACTCGAGCCGCGCATCAATGGCATGATCGAGAAAGTAGACAAGGGCGTGCAGGTTCTCCTCCCGATCGTCAAAGTCACTCCTCCAGCCGGCGAGGAAGTGCGTGACCCTGATCCCGAAGATAGCCCCGACAAACATGCGCTCGAAGCTTTTCTCGCAGAAGAACATGTCGTTGAGTACTTTGGCGACCAGCTCGTTGTCCTCGATACGCCAGTCGTAGCAGAGCTTCGCCGCGACGTAGAGCACGTTGTGGAACTTCCCGAGCATGCACACGGAGCCGTTGTCCGCCATCGATATGTTGTGGTAGCGCAGCGCGGCCCGCACTATTCGCTCGCACACGTCGGCCTTCTCCAGATTTTCCGCTGCAAATTTAGAAGATCCCGTGCATACGCATTATATGCTACACTGTACATTCAAGTTTGGCCAAACTGCGCCATGTTGTTATGGGTCTAATACTACGCAACAGGAGATTATATTTATATTATCCATAGCCTTTCGTGCATTCAGTTTTTTTCCATTCGTTACAGCTGGTTAAAAGTAAATAACCGATCAAACAATTGCTTGCAAATATTAATGTGGTGTATTTACCGAAGGTTTGAAATTTAGATTAATATACTGGGTTCAATGTGTAGGAGCAACCCCCGACCCTCTACGTAATTGAGCAGGGAACAATGCGTTGCGTACTACATTCGGACAGGGGCACGCGTCCTCGTTATGATTGTTGTATATGGATAACGACGCGGCACAGGGCGTACCTGAATTAGGAGTCGTACAAAGCCCGTGTGTACCTGTACATAATCCAGTGTCACCTGGTCGTACCGTCGTTACAATTAGTTCATCGGTACAGCCACGGGGACACATGAGATATTTACGGCCAACTGCACGACGCGCTGCGTTGGGTCACGATCGCCTGTACACCGACATAAACGTACGCAACGGAGGATCGGATAACTCGTGTGAAGACGAGGCTGGTGGTGCTGTGTTTCGGTCATACGATTTGTATTTAACATTGGCGTACAATAGGTTTTGAAAATACTATGGAGCGCGTGATATTGGCTCGGCTGTTTCTTGCTTCGATGTTACGGGGTACTAAAGTTTGACGTTCAGATTTGACGATTTTGTTGATCATCCTACATGAATTGGAAACTTTCTGCATTTGATTTGGTTTATACGTAAATGCAAAACGGTCATTATTCTTGATACGTACACCCATCAAGGGATGATAATTGCTTTCCAAGCGTAACTTGAAGGGACGTCAATGAAGCTGTTTTATGCAACAATAATGTTTTTTGGAAAGGAACTAGTAGTAGGAAAAAGGGTAATATTTTTTAATATAAACTTTCCAAGCTTTTTTTTTTATTGCAACGTACTCAAGGTAAAAACAACTCGAGCAAAATATTACATAACATTTTTGTAGGTTAAACAAATCTGCACCCGTATGAAATTTAAAAAATCAATAAATGAGGAACTAATTTTACTGCGTTACATTGTCACGTAATATAATAATTACAATTAAAAAATTGAATGACAATGGTGATAGCAATAAAAGACCACCCATAAAATGATTGATGACTTGAAAAAAATATAGTGAATGATTATTAAATTTTCACCCCATGTGTGCTTATAAGTCTAATAGTAACGAAAAAATTTAATAAAATTACTTAAATCACACTCATTAAAATTTATAAGTCAAATTCCGAAGGCGCGAAGAAACCTCGGTAATAAGGGAAAAAGATAATCAAAATATTAGATTATCCCTAGCGACTTAGTAAGATACTATTTTTTAGTGTTTGTCAAGTAGTTAGTGATTTAATGAGTTTACCTTCAGCACAGCTGTTAATGACATCCGAGAAAAATTTCACTAATTGTCGACGTTTGTGCCGCGATGCTAGGCTACTCCTTTCCAGTCCGTCAAATAGCCGATCGAAGTAGCAATCAATCAACACCTCCATTTTTTACTCCTTTTTTTAATACAATATATATATATAATCCAAAAGTAAGACAAAGTAATTTTTTCACCGGTCGCGTTGCAATACTCGACGGAATGAGACTCCACGCATCAGGAAGAAAAAAAAAAAAAACAATATCCAGCGACATGTCGTGGGACTAATTTGATTATCTGAGCTAAGCTGGACGCTACTAGAGCTTCTTTGCCTCACCTTTTTCACGGCGAACGTCTGCAAATTCACGATGCAGCCATTGACATTGGCTAAGGTCGTGGCATTTGAAAAAATGTGCACTGTTGAAACGAAAGCTGCTACTTTCCACTTTTGAATCACTTATTCTTATAAATCATTTTAATAGTTTTGCACAAATAAAATGTTCGTGAAAATTATTATCCTTTAACTACATGGATTAGTCAAATACAAATTTAAAAACAAAGGGCTATATCGTCTGATTTAAGTTAAAAAAAATAAATAAAAATGAAGTAAATTCAGTAAACTCAGTACTAACTAGTTAATTTATGAGTGACTTGCTGAAGATAAATAATTAATTACGATTATCAGGAGGGTTCCATAAAAAAGTGGTCAAAGTAATTATTTCTCATCAGGGAATTTTTTTTAGATGAGCTCATTATTCTGAATCCACATCAAAAAAACTAATATGGTTTAGGCATCAATTACTCAAGCAATCAAATTTAAACAATTGTATAGACTGCGGGAAAAAATCTATTTGACTTGGGTTCATTGCTGCCATAAAATTTATCGCTGGTCAACTATTTGTTTTAGGTTACATGCATACTTTCAAAATATAGGTAATGATAAATGAAGTATAAAAGCTTTTGAGAATATCCATTCGTAGATTTATTGAATCGATTGGATTTTTTCTTCTATGAACAGTGATCTAGGTCCGTGGAGTTTTCATTGTTTGGCAAATTTTTACTTCTTAACACGATCTATGATGTTGATGGCCTAACTTTTCAGTAATTATTTTTTGCTAACAAATTCTGATAACAAATGGAAAAAAAAATTTTTTTTTTTTTTTAAATTATTTCTTGGCACATTTTTGAATGAACAACTAATCGAGATGTGTTTTTTACTTTCAACTCCTGATTTGGTCGTAAAAAATTCTTTACGATTCGAAGAATTTATTTTTTGTTATTTTTAACCTTATATACCTCAGTCATTACTAAATTATTTTCAATCCATGTGGGCTTACTATGTACTTTTAGATAAAAAAATAATAATGATGGCTCATAGCCACGCAGCTACAATATTGTTTAGCAAAGCATAATAATATTTATATCTTATTACACCTTATATCTATGAACGCTTCGACTTATATTATAGGCGTAAGTCTATATGCATGGCACGTACAGGTAATAAAAATGACTATGCGTTGATCGATAGTATTGAAGCTGCGTGGCCATGAGCTATCATAATTCTTTTTTTATCTGAAAGTACATACTGTATACAGGTGGATAAAATTGAGCAATATGCGGTTAAAAATTACAAAAAAGCATTAAAATTTATTGTTCAAAATAAATTATTCAAAAACTAAGGCAATCGCCATTGCGTGTTGTGTTCAGGAGTTAAAAATGTATTAAATGAAAAAAATTCTACTATATTAGATCGGCCATGAACACATAAGAGCAAACCCTAAATTACTGTATTACTACTTCTTAATTTTTCGTAGAAACAAGTTTAAAATACCCTCTTATACATTATTGTATACCTACATTACTCTTCTAATATTTTCTGATACTGATACTCGAACTTCGATGTTATTTAGGATAATATTTAATACATCATGTAGTTTTATGGTCACGATAACATCAATTGATACGCATTGTCTGTTTTGCAGGTACCTGTGCATGCCGGAAAATCAGGACCCGCAGTTTCTGCTGGAGTACAGAGGGCCGGTAACCATGAAAGGCAAATCTGAGCCGATGAATGTCTGGTTCCTTTCCCGAGAGATGGAGCTATCCTCGTAATAAGCTGTTATTTCTATAATATACCTGCCACCTGTTTGAAATACCATTTACGTAATTATAGTTGCTCCATCGTTTTATTCGCCGTTCCAAAAAGTTGCACTTTATCGCATCAATAAGCAGCTATATTTTGCACACTGTATAGCTTCCAAGCTATACTTGATTTTTCTAAGACATTTTTTTTTCAGTTAAGGAATTACAATGAGATAAGTAAGAGGTCGAAAATAAAGATTCACTTTAGTTACGTTTGTCGCGAGTGGAAATATTGCTGTTACATTTGATGTAGCTTTAAATATTCGTTTACAACTTCTGTTTTTATGTATTCGACTGTTAAAAAACATTTACGTAGTAGGAGATCATCAATGATAATTTGTCAGGATTGTTATATTTTAGAATAATAATCATTAGCCTCTGGCTATTCAATTGACCAGTGAATATTTGTTACTTTTTTTTGCAACTGTAGGATCATTGGAAATTGGTACAATAATTTTTCTTTACATTAATTGATGGAAATAATATTAAAAGATTATCATGATGTTTATCATTCGTTAGGAAAATTTATCAATTTTTCATTTAGGGTTTGAACGAAAGTCATGTTAAAAAGCACATTATTTTTATTATAAAACTATTGATTAGGAAAGAAATTATATTTTTATTTACACGCACATTACGTTTTCAAAAATTGTTAATCAAAGTTAGTTTGACGTTCAGATTTGACGATTTTGTTGATCATCCTACATGAATTGGAAACTTTCTGCATTTGATTTGGTTTATACGTAAATGCAAAACGGTCATTATTCTTGATACGTACACCCATCAAGGGATGATAATTGCTTTCCAAGCGTAACTTGAAGGGACGTCAATGAAGCTGTTTTATGCAACAATAATGTTTTTTGGAAAGGAACTAGTAGTAGGAAAAAGGGTAATATTTTTTAATATAAACTTTCCAAGCTTTTTTTTTTATTGCAACGTACTCAAGGTAAAAACAAC